GTCAAGGAGACCATGTAGAACGTACCTAGCCCTGTATCCTCTGCCACAGTATCTGTGATTTCTAGCATCTGACCATTGACTCGGTACACTTTAAACATTTCGCCGGCAACGCAGTCGAGATCTTCAGTGAGAGGCGTCATCGTTAGCGCAGGGTTACAACTTATTAAAGTGACAAGTGAAAGTAATCCCCTTGACCAATTTTATGTTCAAGCGTTGTGGCATCACTCATCCCCCCTAGTTTTGCCCTACGATCTAGTGCTTAATCGCTTTCTCTCATTCCACAGGTGGACCCCGTCGGGTACATTTTTGGCCGACTCCAGGTTTGACTCCTTTCACTACAATCGCCTTTTTTCATTTCCCCTTGTCCCTAATGAGACGCTTCTAAGGCTATGTCTCTTTGCGTTCTTGAACCGTTGTCCTGGATCCAAACGTCTTCTTTTTGATGTCTTTGCTGAAGCTCCAAGTCTGTCCGTGTAATACGTGAAAGTATCGCTTACTCTTTCCTCTTCTAATCTCACGTTCATCATGTTGCTTTGGAAGAGTATGTCCACAGCCTCTCTGATCTTTTGTTTCCTAATGCGCTTCTAACACAATGGTCTGGTCGATCAGGGTGACATGTTCAGCTATCTTTGATCTTTCCGTAGTTGCTGGTGTTCTTTGATCCTTGTGCTTATTGTCTTTTCCGTCTCTCCGAGGTATTTTTGTTTCCAGTCCTTGCACTTTATGCTGTAAACTCCGGAGCACTCCATTTTGTTGAATTATTCACATAATTTGGGCAAGCTGATGAAGAGGGTTGTCCTTTCCTTCAGGATCGTACGAATGTTCCATTTCCCTAGTATCGGTGGCAATTTCCGAGTCAATTCGCAGGAGAGTAGACATATCCATCATTTTTCCTTTGTTCCTCTTTCTTTCCTTCCATAATCTCCTTCCTTCCATCTATTCATTATTATTTTTCTGTCATATTGTATTGCATATTCTGGATATCCGTTCCCAAGAAACCTCTGAATTAGTTTTTCCAGTTCCTTTTCCCAGAACGCAGAATCGCAGAATCGTAGGCTTCGCATTGCCATACCCCTGCCTATTCTAACTTTGATTCCACAGGTGTGGTTGGTCTGGAAGTTAAGGGTTATTCTATCACACGATATATTTTGGAAAAGTCGTTTGAGAGTTTCCTCGGAGCAAATGACTTTCACAACCAATGACCTATACATCATGTAATATAGATTGCAGGAAGATAATTAATGAAATAAATACTTACTTTTCTAGCAAGAATAATGCTATTAATATATCCAGGTTACCTATTGATGATATTGCTGAGCACATCTCAGAAATGACGTGTAAACTTTGCCTTCCCAAGTTAGGAGAATCACTAAGAGGATAGAATAGATAAATTAATGACTTTAGCGGATAATTTGCTAAAGGCAACTAAGGTTAGCATAGAAAGATAAGTGATTCCCTTTTTCGACCAGATAATTATTTCAAATATATCCTATTATTTAAATACTATTTCTAGACAATGCATCAAAATAGTCCAAATAAATAATTATGTAAATAAGAGATTCAACGGCGAATTCGGAATTTTCCTGACTTAATAGCATACATTTGGTTGTAAGAATGATACCTATCACATGATGGGTGAAAGCTTACCACGCTTTCACCGGAATCGAAAGGGATTGACTCGAAAACAACGTCAGCATGAATGTTCCTGTAAAGCCAAGTGAGATAGAATAAAAAAGAATCAGCTTCATATTCTGGTGGGATCGACCCTCAAATCTCGTCAACTCACATACTTTAACTCGTAAAAGAAGTCAGCTTAGCAATAGACCCTGGCTAAGAATTTTTGTCTTACTTTGTCGTTTAATGTGGTGTAAGGAGTGATGAAATGTTTCGATCTTATATTGCCATTCAACTTCACATGGCTCTTGCTCCTAAGAATATAATAAAGCTTTTCGAAAGAATGGGCTATTTGAACCTTATTTAAACTGTGAGGGCTATTTATTTCATTATACAATACCTACTAATAGTTTTGCAAGGTAATATAATTGGTTTTTTAAGGAACTCGTACCATGGCTTCGTGGGCCAGATACGAAAGTACACGCTGGCTTCCTCGATTTGACCTGTACACAACTGTTCGACCTCAGCGACTGTCCTACGTTTTCCTCCCTCATTTGCCAGACATTCTTATGGCAAGGTGTTGAAAAAGGAGGCCTTTAAGGAACTCTTTATAATGATCAATGTTAAAGTCATTCCTAGAATGTGTTCTCGTATCAGTTTCGTTTGAAGAATGGAATCTTTGTGTTCTGTGGTGCATGTATTTTGATGCAAGTCCTTTACGGCCAGGGCATAGTGACGCATCCGCTTTCTTATTACTGCAAAATTCAACCTATAAAAGAAGTTATCACAAAATCAAGAAGTAATTTTTTTCAATGGTACTCTTATTCTATGCTGTAAAGACTTGTTTTAAACTGAAGAGGACTGCCATATTTCAGAACGTGGCTGTATCGAGGGAAGTCAGGTCGAAATTGCTCAAAACATTCTCCAATAATCATGTGGAAAGTTGATCTGTAAGTTCCATCTAATGAAGTTAGACGAAGTGACCTCGGTGGTAATGCGACTGCTGAGGTCCAAATCGCCGAAAAAGCAAGAAATGACCGTTCTTTAGGCAAGACTCCGCTTCAATGACCTTCAGAATGTTTTAAAGAGAGTAGAGGGCCTCTAGACTACTTTTTGAGAATTAAGGTCAATTGAAATTAAGACAAATCATGAGACCTCTTACTTTTATTGTGCAAAAATTCAACTACCAGCCATTCATTATATTAAGATGACAACAAATAGAATTGAAAATATGTTAACAAATTGTAAATAAAAAAATTCTGAAATGGTGTGAATATAAAGTGCAGTGCTTAAGCGTATGTATGTTGTACCCTCTTGTGTGGGCTCCTGCTGTGCAAAGAAACAGCAAGCAAAGACTTCCGCTTCAATGGACACCTGTTCGTCGCTTAAATGGAACCAGCATAAAAGCGAGAAAATTCCCAGTTGGGGATGTGTGCTAAGAAGTGCGTCTGCCATGAAGAATGGAGGAAGTTGTTTATTAAGAAACTTAATCTTTATTTAGATGCTTCCCTGAATTTGTGCATGCATGTAGGTGTGAAACTAATGTGTACCATTCGAAGTAATGGTCCTTGGGTAATTACAAGAGAGCAAATGTCCTAAAGCCGTTATTTAGGATGAATTTGGAGTCCGGCTTTATGTCGAAACCTGGCAAATAATCACAGTTATAGGTTCTCAGACTA